GCGCATCTCTAAACGCGCGAGAACTTACGAGAAAAAAGAAAGTTGATATGGGCGAGAATCTCTCACCCCATGAGGGGACGCAACTGACTTTTACCGTAAGTATCTCTTGCCGGTGTTTTTTTTTTTTTTTTTTTTTTAATTTGTCTGTAAGCCGAGAGAAAAAGAACGCGTAATCGCGGGTTAGACTGAGACATTTTATAAAATGGGTTCCTGAAAACAACGAACATTTCCTTCAGTCCCTGTGCAGTGCCACGATGTAGAAACAATATAACTTCTTGGCATGGTTCTTACTGCATGTTCCTGGATCTAGTATTTTAGAAAATCACAAGCTAAACAGTTAGGAGGGTTGAAATCTTTTCTCAGCCCAGCCTTGCTCCGGAATGCAAAAAAGGTTTTTCAAAAGTGAAAAAGAAATTGTTCAAAATATGACAAGTTCCCAAAAGTTTTCCATTATATTGCGCAGACCTTACAGGATGAATACACCCCTTTTCAGCAATAGGACTCGCCAGGAACTGAAATGCAGACAAACCTACTCCACGGGACCCTATACTGGACCTCACGGTCCCCACTATGGTAATGTTCGCGGGAGTTTGCGGGAGACCTGAGGAGAATTTATGAGCATTTCGTTCGCTCAGCGGTAACGTGCGAAGACAGCTGTTCATGCGCAGTAAATCTTCAGCGCATGCGCCTTCGATCTGACAAATTTTGTTCTTCTGTTTTTCGAGGGTAGAAGAGGGCTTTCTCTTACTTACTGGACATTTTTGTCATAATCTTGCAATTTTGACAAACTTCTTTTACGTCCTCTTAGAAAGCAACGGCTCAGCCACCAGTGGGCTGAGTTTAAAGAAATTTTGGTGGTCAGGGGCTTAGAAAATGCCCCTCTTTTCGGAACAACTGGAGGGCGGCAATTTGTTCGAACTGTTCCCCTAAGTTGGAATTTCGCGCACAGAAAAAAAAACAAGCTCTATTTTCTCCGTGAATGTACGGAAAATAATTGTTTAAGAAGTTGTTGAGGTGCTTGGAAAATGGATTACGACCACTTGGATCCAGAAGGAAGTTTGATGGATGTGCGTAGAATCTTGTAGTTCCTCTCAACATTACTTCTCTTGAGAGGTATTCTTGCTTCGCTCTGCTTGTTTACCTTTAATGAATATCCATTTCTCTATAATTTACAGAGGATTCAAGCCCTTATCCAGCCTCCACAGTCAGAGGAATCAGGCAAAAGGATTAAAAAAGTGGACAAAGAAGCGCGGAAGCAGGGACGTGCTGTCAACAACGACAACTGTGATAGTTGTGGCGAGGGAGGCGATTTGCTCTGCTGCGACCGTTGTCCTTGTGCTTTTCATTTGACTTGCTGGTTAGTTTAATTTGAATCTTCACTAGAAATACCGATTAGGTTGATTTCTAAGGATTGATCCGCTTTTCGGAGCCAAGTTGAGCTTTTAGGTCTTGACTTTCCAATAGTCGGGCCTTGTTCAATGCAAAAAGTCCAGATAAAAAGCTTAATTTAACGCATTTAGACACCCGCTAGCAGTGACAGCTTATGTTAATTATTCCAGTTTTCATCTTGAAGCTGCGATAAAAAACTTGTTGGACGAGGCACATTTTAATCGTAGTGATTTCTTGGAAACTGCAGTATCTTTGTCCATTTTGATTCTCTCGAGTACGCGAAAAAGCAACCTGTACATCCTTTTGTTTACCCTGGTACGATTTCCCGTCACTAAACTTTCAACGAAATAGTTACTTTTGGATTCTTTAATTCTTATTCCTTTGCTGTTTGTAATTTATGTCAAGCGTCTTCCGTTTCATTGTTTACAAGATCAAATGAACCACTTGTCTTTTTTCCTCGAGTAAGGTTTTGCGAAGTCCTAACATTTTCTAAGACTCATGAGCGATTTCACAATATGTTATTTAAGAAGTTTTATTTGAACTTAATACTCTGAAAGCTGTTATCACAGTGAACAAAAGATTCAAAGCTTGGTTTCAAAATGGTTTATTGTAGATTTGACTATAAATAAAGGAAAAGTTCCACAAGGGTACAATGCTTGTAAATTTGGGAATAAATGTGAAAAAAATAAGGATGCAGTTCCTTTCTGACAATGGATTGGCTTTGCATAGTTTACATTTTCATGAGTAAAGCTACAAATACCGACCTTTTAGTTCAGGGAAACTTGATCTTGTTTATTTCCTCTGTTTATCTATTCCTGCATTCTCACCACCAGGCCCGGGTACTCTAACAATCATTCTTTAAATCATAGGGTTTCTGATTTTGAATAAGGCATGTGCTAAGTTAGTACATCTTCAATTAGCTGTGTTAAGTGTGGCTTCTTGTTGTCAGCTTAAATCACAAAGTGGTGTTATAAATGTGCACTCTCATGGCTTACTTTCCCATTGTCACTTTTTCCCTTTTTTGGAAATTCCTAATATATGCACTATTATACCAATGGTGGCAGGTGAAGGAAGTATGAGAAAAGCCACATAATATAAAAGTTATGATCATTCATGTCTCTACATATTTGTTGATTGTTGTGTTTTGTTTGTCAGTGATCCTCCTTTGGAAGAAGATGATATTCCAGACGGGGAATGGCTTTGTAATGAATGCAAAGCAATGCCCAAAGAGGTAGATGTTTGAACTAACTTGTGATAGTATATTTGTGATGTTGATTAATGTCTCCTGGGTGCAAGAAAGTGAAGGAAATTTGTAAGCTTGGCAAACAGATCGCCTTTCGTCTTTTTTGTTTTCAAACTAGATTGTGTAAGAGTGTTTACTCAGGCTTTGTATTGCAATGTCAAATCATTTCTACAAGTATTGAACGCAATAAAAACAAGTACAAGAATAAGGATATTTAGCACTAGTTAAGCTGAGATATATGCTATTAATTCAAGTTGCTTTGTTGAGTATCCTCTTTATCCAATTGCTTGTTGTTTGCCTCTCTTTCGAAGTTCTGTTTTTGAAGATTCTTGATTTTTTCAACATCTGAGTTGTTCGTGAGAACTAGGTTATACTTTGCTAATTTGGGTAGTTCTCTAGCTAATGAATTTGTAGGTGAGATGAGCGTATAAGGCATGTTTCTTTCCAAAACTTTGTGTTCACGAAACGCATCCTCTGTAAATTAGGTTGTTTGTGAAGAGCAAGCACACAATTTGCAGGTTGTTGCTATTCCCATCCCTAGTTTCCACGCTCTCTGCTAGGAACACCTGGCACCGTACTATGACCCCCTTTTGGTGACCAAGAAAAAGAATGGCCTGCATTTTCTGACTTGGGCTTTCCTATGGAAGCCCGAGTAATACCTGTAATTAGCTATTCCATAAATAAAGCTTCCTAAATATTTTTAGGTATGGTTAAATCTAATCACCACAAAGATTAGTATCTATACATTTGTCACTTGACAAAGTTGTGATCAAAACTTTCTGTTCTCCTGGATTTAAACTGTCAAATCAAATTCCAAAAACTGTAGAAGGCACCTCATGAGATACCTAGGCTATTTACAATTTCTCACAAGCAAACCTGTTTAGGAACTTTGCTTATTGACAATATCAGTGTTTATTTACACAGCAGATGTGTTAAAACCAGGGATGTTAAATTTTCTGCAAAAAAATAAACTTGTATAGTAATAAATATGGTAAGAAACATGATCACACTGATATGTGCTTTGGACGACATAAATACTGCAGTCTGAGGAGGTAATTAAATAATAACATAAATGTAGAGGAATGTTTCTGAAATGACTTCTTGTGTTTTCTATAGGAGGAGGAAAGCAACCAAAAAGACCATGTAAATGATGGTGGACATGAGGTTCATTCAATGCCAGCTGCTAAACATGTTGAGAATTCAAAATCAGAATCTCCTTTTTCCACGCTGGTAAAAATGACAACTGGGAAAAATCCAACCACATTTTCTCTTCCACCGGAACTCAAATGCAACACTTACTTTCCAGGCAAGTCTAATTCAGGCGAAAATTACATTTCAGTCTGTATGAGTGCTTTCATGCATGATCATTGATTAATAAGCACTTAATAACTAGTCCCAAGGGCAACAGTGAATTTTGTTTCAAACAAAAACTCACTGTTTCCTGTGGGGCCAGTCATTACGTGCTTTGTTGTACCTCCTAACTCAAGTATAAAGCAAAAGTTTTGTGAAAACAGTATTTGCTTAATGCCAGCTGGTAGACAAATTTGCCATGGTTTTAAGGTGCACAACCTAACCAAATGTGATTTGAAAGTTCAAGTTGTCGTTTCCCTAGGGAGTTAGTGAGTTTTGACCCATGACTTGTAGCATGCTCTCCTCCACTTGAATTTCAAACATATTTGAGTTGGGATGTATAACAAAGAATTTTGTTGTGCAAGTATGATTTATCATTGAGAGTTTCCTTATTTACTAGTCATGTGCTTGAAGGAATTGGAGGTGCACTCTATCTATGGAAATATTTGAAATTTTCTTTGGCATGTTACCTCTCATTGAGGCCTAGTGACAGGTCAGGCAAGTGTTGTTTTACGGGAAACTGTAAAGGAATGTAGTATGTTCTCAGGGAAATTCTAAGGCCCTTAAAGTCAAGGAGGAGGTTATGGTGTGTTGCTGACAATGATTGTCTTTTTAGGTCAATAAAAATTGTGCCAAAAAATAAATTAAAGTAAATTTGATTTGATCATTTGATTTGTCTTATTCTGGCCACTGGAAATATTTTTCTTAGTCAGTGAAAATTCAGGTTATAGAGTTTGATAAGTTTTTGTAGTAGCACTTTTAAATGTACTTATATTCTGTTGTGTCTTTAGGTGACAGAAAGAGGAAAAATAGCACAGAGGAAAAAGCAGTTCCCATGAAGAATGGGAAAAGGTTCATGTAAGTGTTGATAGGAATTCCGTGTAGTTTGAGTAAAAGAGACATTGTACTAAAAACCTTTGTCAAATTCAGCCATCACAAAGCCAGCAAGAACAGTAATCTTAGTTATTCTTGCTTGTCTACAGAAATGGTGACGAGGAAGAACATGCTATACCACCTGGGCGACTTTGCTTTGCTTGTAGTAGGTAAGGTACAGTATTTATTAACTCCATTTATAAGCTTTCAATAACCAAATTCTTCTCACTGATATCTATACCTATTTCATATTGGTATAAATCTGCTACCGTCCTATCATGAATGCTGTTCTCTGATTGGCTATGCTACTCACTATCTATTCTGTTGTAGAAAGCGAGTAGTGTAGAAGAGTTTGCTTGTTAACAAAATGATGGCCACTTCTTTGCATTTTTGAAGTGTCTGTGAAGAGGATTTATAAAAAGTTTTGAATGACTAGTAGATTTATACTAAAACAATTAGATTATTTGCACTTGATTTCTATGTGTGGTAGTGATAGAAATCTCAAGCTCATAATCTAATTGTGGACATTAAAAATAGACTTGTGAGGATTTGATCAAGAGATTAGATTTAAAATTGAATTAATGGTAAATTTTCTTTTGTTTTTGTAGGAGTGAACTGGCTGGCCGGCTTGTTCATTGTGACTTCTGTCCTTTAGCATTTCACATGGATTGTGTCAATCCCCCGCTCACGACAGTGCCGAGTGGCATGTGGATGTGTCCAAATCATGCTGAGCATGCTGAGGTACATGTACTATCCTCTTGTTAGGTCTGTTTGTACAGTGATTTTGTCAAATGCTCTTTTCTATCTGAGGTCTTTTGAATTTCAGTGAAATACTTTTGGATAGTTACTAGGAAAGTGTAATGGCTAATGCTTAGCACTCCCAGTCAAAAAGCCCAGGATCAAACCTGGTCTTGTGGTTCATGTGTTGTGTACTTAGAGCTGTCATGAATCAAGTTTTGACTCACCTGTAGCCTTGGTCTTCACACCCATAGCAAACCTTTTACTTTATGTGTGCACTGTATCAACTTCAGGAAAGTTTACCCATAACATCACAGGTGCATCAAGCATACTCAGCTGTGATGGGTGTTCTGGGTTAGCGCCCCTATTGGCCCTGCTTGTGTACTAATAAGTAAGATGCGAAGATCACACAGGTCTTATCACCCCCAGGAGCATAAATTGACACTGACAAATATTGTTGGGGCAACTTGATAGAAATGTTGGTACATACTGTCCAACAGCAATGAATTTCATTTTAGCTCCATTTATATCTCTGTTTAATTGATGAATTCTCTTATCCTTTGTTTTAGCCTGGGCTTCGCGACCCTCGTTTCAGCAAAAGAGTACAAGCATATAATGACTTGAGAAGTAATATATCTCAACACACGATAAAGATGAATTTCCTTCAGCGAGTGCACAGGTATTTCACAAAACTCCTTACTTCATATACATGTATATCAGCCTGATTAGCACCAATGATGCAAACATAAGTCCAATCACTTGTCTTTACAAACACTGAAAAATGTAAAGTCAAATATTTAAATATTTTGTTTCATGCACTGATTTTGTTTTCATTGTGGAAAAAAGGACTCTTGTGCTCTCCATATTTGTAGGAATTGCTAGTTTAATTTGTCGCTACTGAAAACCAGGTTTTACTGTGCAGCTGACTTGCCAGCAAAATAACTTCATGTTTTTCATGTTTTTTTTTTTTTTATTATTGTGAATGTCAGATTAAAGAAGCATCCTTCCTTTAAAAGAAAAGCATTCCTTCCAACAAGAAGAAGAGCAACTTTGGTGAGTGTGTTTGTGTTTGTAAAGGAGACAGTGATTTTTGCTGGATACTGGTTACTTTTCACAACTCTGGAGAACCAATTCAGAATATGCTCCTTTTCTTCTTGGATCAGTGTGCTATAATTAATGATAGCAAACTGATCCAAGAAGAAAAGGAGCATATTCTGAATTGTTTCTCCAGAGTTGTCAAAAGTAACCAGTATCCAGGAAAAATCACCATAATTATTAATTATTATATCGTAATTTTTTTGATAAGTTGTTGTGTTGTCCTGCCACTTTGATAATGAGTGCAGAAATCCTCTTTCCCATCCCCCCCCCCCCACCCCCCACAATCATGGTTTGGCCTACCCTGAATTACTTTCCTGTGCTGAGAATATTCTTCCTTTGAGATGTTCAAGAATACCTTTGAACTCTAGGTTCAACTGGTTGTGTTTACTGTAGGTTCCACAAGCCATCAAAGACCATTATAACTCTCCACCAGTCCGACTGCTTCCAGAACACGTCAAGAAGATGCAGGAACCCCTACCATTACACTCAATGCCTCTCAATACACCAACTGCCGAGGAGCAGGAAGAGGTAAGGCTAAGGATGGCCAAGACGGTGGGATGAGATACATGCAGATAACAGGGATGTCATATCTTAATCTGAACCAACAGCAGGGTCCAAAAAACAGTGCCGTCCCATTGTCCCCAACCGGTAGATTTTCCTTCTGGGCAAGTAACTTTTCATTCTCACTTCCCTGATGGGCAAGGGATCAGGCAAGTTGTCTGCCAGCTAAATCATTAAAACAGCAAACTAAGACTTGCCCAGGGCAAGTAAAATTTGAGGGCTGTTTGTCCCAAGGGCAAGCTTGAATTCAAGTTTTTTTCAAGCCCCGACCAGTGTTAATTCTAGTGGGAAGATTTTAAGCTCTGGGCTTATAACTAGTATGTTGTGGTAGGTCTTTGAGCTTGCATTTACCACTCTGATATACTCATCAATACGAGGGCAAATGAAAAAATTGGATTTGCGATTTTGTGGAGATGAAAAAATTATGTTGTTGTTGAAGTGATTTTCACTCTTTTCATCAAACATCTAATTATTGTTTTCTTTGTATTTTCAGTGGCTAAAGTGTGTGATAAGCCTTCAATGTGGCATTGCTAAACATCTGACACAGCCATCTGTGAACAAAACTTTGATTTCCAATCATGTGGAAACATCTTCTGTGAAAGGAGAAACATCAAATTCAAGTACACACTCATCATCTTCAACATCAGTCCATTCTTCAAGTACTGGAACAGGGAAAGAATCAGTGTTAAACGGTCTGACCTCGAAGTCAGACTTACCTAATCACGTTTCTGCATCACCAGCAAGTAGCAGTGTGCAAAATGCTTGCATAAGTAGAGTTGTGACCACTACGATTACCACCACCAGCGGCGGAAAAACAGTAACAAAACCACTGACAATACTCTATGCGTCTCCATCAAAATTACAGACTCACATGAATGGACCCCTTAATACAAAGTCAGTTGCAAGTTCAGGGAACCCTGTCAATGTTTGTGCTGTATCATCGACTCATTTACCTTCGCAAGTTCTTGTTAAACAGGAACCTAAAACTGTCGAAAAACAGCTAGCATGTAGTGACTTGACCCAGTTAAGTGCTGATTGCAAACAGTTGTCTAGTGACACTGCAAAATTAATCAGCGATATTGGGCATTTTAACAATGTCAAAGCAAAAATCGCGACGGACACTATAAAAACAGTGGCAGTCTCATCGTCTAGTTCTGTAATGAACACTACGGTTAGTGCTGCAACCAGAACAATTTCTACTGTCACTGCAGCTGGATCAAGTGGCACCAGCATAACAAAAGTTGCTTCGTCGACTCCGACAAAACTTATAGTACTCACTAGTACAAACAGTGGAAACATAATTAAGACAATTGCTACTGCTGGGCTGTCTGCAGCTGGTACTGGGCAAATCCCAGGTGGTAGCATAGTGACATTAGGAGCACCAGGAAGCGCTGCAAATGTCAATCCAGTTAAAATTGGAACTGTCAATGCCTCAACACCAGTTTCAATAGGTTCAAGTCCTAACAAAGTTAACCAGGCAGCTGCTGCGACATCCATGGCAACTGCTAATGCCATAAACAGTATCTGTGCTGCAGCTGGAGTTGACGCATTCAATGGTCAGTATTGTCTCTTGTTAATTCCCTTTGAGGATCTCACTTTATAGTTGAGTGTCAAGAGAGAGCTTGTGTGTTGATCTTTGTTGTGTAAGGACTCTCTTAAAAGCTTGATCATCATCTTTGTGGCATGTTCTTTGGCAAGATAATTGTTTTGTTTGGATACATATGTAGTATGCCGCTCTCCCATTAAGTCAAGGGAATCCAGTGGGGACAATTGGCTAACTCTGATACTGCTGATGGGGAAAAGATGGTGACTGTAATAATCATAAACTTAATAATGATAAGCTTTATTTATATGTCTGAAGGATTTAGCTCCATGTGAGCATTTTCATGAGGCTACATTAACGTAACCAAATGGTTAGAAAAAGTTTCAATATCTGTGACAAATTTGCAAAAAATTGTTGATTTTCACCTTATCAATTTAAGGCCAGAAATCAAAAGGGTAATATTTTAGTGTTCAAACAGTAACACGATTTATATTTGTTTGATTTATTTGTTTGAGTTTATTTAGTCACTGTATGGTAGATAGTTTCAGTTTTTGTGAACTGAGTTCTTTCTGTCAGAAACAGAGTTGGCCAAGTTGGATCCAAGGCTCATTCAAGTGTTGGCCTATCAAAGGCTCCAGCAGCTCCTCACACAGACCAAGGTAGTTAGATTTTTTTTGCTTAAAATGTTAATTCTCCTTCCTGGCATCCATACATTTTTTTAATGTTCGTTCTGAGAATTTGACAATACACCATAAAAATTTTATATTCCCTACTTGATTATTTTCCTTATTCTTGTCACCTGTGTGCTTGGTAAGGTATAAGAAATGTAAGGAGAAATTTGATGTTGCGTGGTTTGAAAATTCAATGAATTTTTGACATTAAAGTTAAAATTTCCATGCAGTGGCAATTTAAAGCCCAATGGCCAAATTTATACAAGGGAAAATAATCCGTCTCAGACAAATTAGCAGTCTGAGATGGGTAATTCCTCTGCTTGACACGGATTAATCGTCTAGCTAATTGGTCTGTCAGCATGTCTTCTTGTGGTGACAGATGAATCAGTTGAAGATGAATTTGGCCACATAATTTGTCTAAACACCAGATTTATACCTATATGATTTATCCATCTGAGACAGATAAATCTTGGATTGATAAATCATCTCGTAATATACTGGTAAATTTGGCATTGGATAATAATATTCATCTCTAGTATTAATTTGGCCAATGTTAAGCCCCAGCCAAATGATCATTGCAACATGTCAATGCAACATATCGCAACATTGTTGGGCGCAACATGTTGCGTGCGTTTGGCCACCGTGTTGCGATGTGCTGCGACATGTTGGGTGTTTTTGGCTCAAATTTGACTATTTTCAAACTTGAGCCGACAACACCCAACATGGCGCAACACATCGCAACACGGTGGCCAAACGCACGCAACATGTTGCGATTGTTTGGCCGGGGCTTTAGATTTACTAAGTTTTTGTTTTATCAATTGCAGCCTGTTCCCCCAAGCCCAGGAGCAGCTAGAAAAATTTCTTTCAATGGCTTAAAAGAAACAATAGTTCTCCCTCAACAAGCTGGTAAGTAATCAGGGAATCAAAAAATGGTGTGCTTAAAGTAATTCTTGTCAAGTCAAAGTGGCTGTGTATACATAGTCAAATGTGTTTTGGATTATAACCTGGAGTGTATCCTTTCTTGCTGAATATGACGGCAAAGTTGAAAGTAATCTCTATTAGATTATCTGCTTTGTTAGATGATAAATTTACAATAATTATTTACAATTGAGTTGTTGCTCTTTGTTCTGCTTCTGACAGTGCTATTGATGTATAATGCATTTTCTCTTAAAGTTCCTGCAGGTAGATCCATAGCAGTGTTGTGTCCATTATCAGGGACTGGTCCTGTGTGTCCAATGATTCATAAGTGTCTGTCTTTGGGACAAGGTTTGTGGTTTATCACTTTCCTCTGCCATATTGTTCATCGTTGACAAAGATTTTGGTTGTTGTCTTAATGATGGCCATTTCTCATTAATGTATGAGTTGAAGAAGTCAAAGTATGATCTGTAGATGCGGTTGTTGACTTTTTAATTGGCTGACAAGTTTAAGAATTGTCAGATGATAGTATTAATATTGATCAAATTAACAGTAATAATGATGCTTCATATTGAATTCAATGAAGTTTACATTCAGCTATGCAAACTGTAGAATACTTAGGCTTATTTCATTCACTTAATAAATATGATTACAAATTTGGCATTCTAAGAAGATCAGTTAAAAGCTAAA